CAGCCAAACAGGAACAGACCAGATGAAGCTACTATGAGAAAAAGCAGAGAGAGCAGAACGTTAGAGATTGAACTAACAGATTCTGCAGAGTGGGAGAATAGAGATAGAATGAAGCAGAATGATGAAAAAGGGGTCCCTATGTCCTCCAGCAATATGCTGGTGAAGATTCTCAGTCATCCAGGTCATAAAAAGTTAAAAACAATCAACTGGACTTTGTTTCCAAATTTTAAGACGTTTCTCTTCCATCCAGGAAGCTTTTTTATTCAAAATGTCTGAAATAGATTTAAATTCCAGGTTCTATAGAGTGGACCAAGAATGAAGCTTTGTTTTTGTTTATTAAACATGCATGTTTTCCACTCTAAAGCCTTTTCTGACATTTTGAGTATTTTAGATGAGGTATAAGGAAGGTAGAGCCGCAGTGTTGCCAGGTTAGACCCAGGGAGAAATTTCTATCCAGACAGAAGTTCTATTTCTATTCTACTAATCTATAGTTGAAATGCTGATGTTCATTAGCAGCATGGAAATCCATCTACCTAAGTAGCATCTAATGCAAATTCAAAGACCCACCTATCATTTTGTAAAGTTTAATGTTTGGTCAGTAGAACCATGATAAGTGAGCTTCTGGAACCTCCTTGGAGTGAATTCAAGGACCGGATTGTAGAAACTTGGAAGATTTTTTGAACCACTTTAAGGCTTACTGATTTGTTTTGCTTTGAATGTTTTGTCTCATTCAGGTGGAGAAGCAGGAGGTCCTGGACCCCCCCTCTTTCCCCTCACAGGGGGAATGACCTCACAATGTTCAATGGACAGGTGACTGCAGGTGCAAATCAAGTGTGTCTGCAGAGAACATCACCTGTTCACCACTTCCCAGAATTCAACAGTAGGTGCAGCGGGCTCACGGTGGATGGAATTAACCAAAGAGGATCATCATCCTCCACTTCATCAGTGTTTCTTGACAGTCCTCTGAGGCAACCTGATGCACCGTTTCTGGCCAACATGGCAACCTGCAACAGCCAGAGGTGGGCTCCTTATAGACATGCAGAATCTGACCTGGCAACCATCCTTAAATGACCATTTTAGGTTTTAGGTTTGTGACGATCTGTACAGATGAAGCCTTGAAGGCAGATCATCCAATGTTTGAATTTACATCAAGCAGCAAACAATTAATAACTAGAATACAAAAAAAAGCAAGAAATGCAGTTAAACCGAGAGGCAACACCTGCAGTTATTCACCATTTTAACCTGCTGAGTTAAAAAGTTTACCTGGACTGTGACCTTCAAAGAACCAGTCCAGAAAACCAGTCCAGAAAACCAGGTCCTTGGAGGACGCAAACAACTACACCAAGTCACATCGCAGTGGATTGTCTCTGTACACAAACATGCAATCTACACTCACCGGCCACTTTATTAGGTACCCCATGCTAGTAACGGGTTGGACCCCCTTTTGCCTTCAGAACTGCCTCAATTCTTGGTGGCATAGATTCAACAAGGTGCTGGAAGCATTCCTCAGGGAGTTTGGTCCATATTGACATGATG